GAATAAGGGCTACAAAAATATTTCAAATTAATAGTCGATACTTATAATGTAATGATTGATATTATAATAAATATTCCGCAAAATATATAAGAATACAAAAAATCAATTACTGGTTGTTGTAAAGTACTGACGAACTGACTGTCGGAATACAAGTGCAGTACACTATGCCATACCATACCAGACACTACATTACCGTATAGTATAGTATAGCCAACAATGGATTCTCTATACAAACGACATGTCAAAGCAGAGGAAAAAATAATAAACTATTCAATACAACGTTAACTCTACAGAATATACAGTCATATATACAGAGATAGAGAGAGTGAGTGAGTGCGAGAGAGAGAGAGAGAGAGAGAGCACCGGGAGTGCATTTGGCGAAAGACAGTGTAGTGAAAGGGGGTTTTCTCACTGAGACAACTCCAACTCCAACTCCAAAAACACTGGTGTTGTTTAGTGTAGAAAGTGATGGAAAGGCTGCGAGAGATAGGGAGGGAGGGATGGGGGGAATGGGAGCGAGCGGTTAGAGTAGGTATAGAGTACGCCCTTAATAACGCTTCACTGCAACATAACTGTACGCTTCGATCGCTTATGAAATTCCGATTGAATACAGAATAACAAGAAAATAGCTCTCAATTGAGTGCATGTATTGGATTCCCGGGACAGTCACTACTTCACTACAATAGCACATATGAACTCAAACTCACTAACAGTCATAAATTATACGATTGCAAAAATATCGACAATTAATTACACAAATATTGAATCCTGTTTACAGACTCTATTGGCAAGTAGTAAAGCCCTACACAACACTACACTCGATACGAAATTCATAAATTATTCCTATCGTTCAATTTATCGCCAAAACCTTTTGGCACTGATTTTAATTAATTTTTTCTCTTGAATTCAATTCAAATTTTGAGATCTATTTTTGCAAATACATGTCATGCGACTATAATGTATACTACTTCACTACAATAGCACATATGAACTCAAACTCACTAACAGTCATAAATTATACGATTGCAAAAATATCGACAATTAATTACACAAATATTGAATCCTGTTTACAGACTCTATTGGCAAGTAGCAAGTAGAAAATTCATCAATTATTCCTATCGTTCAATTTATCGCCAAAACCTTTTGGCACTGATTTTAATTAATTTTTTCTCTTGAATTCAATTCAAATTTTGAGATCTATTTTTGCAAATACATGTCATGCGACTATAATGTAATCACATCAACAAATATACTATTAATCGCATCGAAAGTAATGCAAATCTATCGCAGAGTCTGTCGACTATTCTGGCGATCATTCGCTTAGATAGCGATGACTTGTTTCGCAATAAAACCTCACTTTAATTGCCGTCAAAATTGTATAAATTAAGTACAAAAATGCTAATATAGTAAACGCTGTCCTAAACCATTGGAAACTCAATCCTATCGATAATTATTAGCATTTTAAGTATGTATATAAACTGACAAAAACTAATTAAACTTATAAATAGGCAAATGAATGCTGACATAAAAACACTCGACATGCTAATTGAAAAATTAATATTCAAATGTTTTCGAAAAACTCAAACCTTATGTAAAACAGGGAAAAAACTTAATGTAAAGTTTAAACACAAAAAAATATAATGTAGAAATGTGTAAACAAATTTTTCATTTAAAACCTGTTCAACAAAATTCAGACACAGTATCAAAATTCGTGTGTAAATCAAAAGATAACCGAAAAATTCATTGAATAAAAAGTATGATATATTTAGCAACAAATATCATTAAACAATAGCTGATTGTGTGTACGAAAAAAGTCACGAAATGTGAACAAACAATACCATAGGAATTGTTTTTGGCGTACAGTTTGACTCAAATTTCAAATACACGTCTAAAAGTTCATAACGAAAACAATAGCCGAAAAATATTTCACACTAAAACACACATTAACTATAATTAAACATTTATTACATGAAAAAACACATTAATAGACACACAATGGGAGACGTTTGAGACATACCTTCAATGGTCTGACAATAGTGACGGTCTCTAAAGAAGTGGTCGGAGCCATCATTTTAGTGGTGATTATCTGTCAAAACACATACCATACACACCATTAGTATGAATACAATTAACTGACAAAACGCTCAAAATTGAGGCCAAAATTAAATTCAAAAAAGACGAAAAAATTCATTTAAAAACCACACAAAAGACAAACTTAAATATATTTACATTGAAGTATTACAACAAACTTTTATATTGTATTTGTTGAAAAGAAATTCCTTAAATACAAGTCATAATTACTCAATCAAAAAATCATTATATCATTTCATTTTGAATGCGATGTGTATTACGAGTGCCTATCATAACGACACAACTTTTGGTTTCAATACTAATAATATTATTACACTTATTATTACGTCTAATGATGTCAAAAGTTAGGCACAAAAATAATATTTAAATATCGATTAAAAGAGAAAAAATATAATAACGTGTATATTATATACAGATAAAAATTAATTCATTTAATGGTATATATATGCCTCGCTCATAATGTGTACACAAAAATGTATAGTTTTTATAACATTTATATCCACACATAATATATATAATTATAGAGGAGTTCAAGGATTCAGAGCTGACTATCAAACTGAAGTCAAAACTAATAAAAAATAGATTTTTCATTCATTTTGATGATAGAGTGGGCGACAAAACAATTGCAATTCAATTGCATGCAAAGGGTTACGAAATAATACCACAAAATTCAAGTCAAACCACATTTTGTATCACAATTTCTTATTCAATAATACATTAGACATTTAAAAGTCTGAGAGAGAGAGAGAGAGAGAGAGAGAGAGAGAGAGAGAGAACTTGATTTCTTATACATACAATAAAAATAAAAATGATTGACAGAAATAGTAATTTTCTAATATATTATTGAATTATCGTTGTTTTGTCGCAAACATTGTCTCGCTGTACCACTAGTATTGGTATTTATGTCATAAATATTTAATACATTGAATACAATATTCATTGCATACGTAAAGCGCTGCAAATACACGAGAAATTGAATTGAATCTCACTTTTCAATTGAATTTCTTATAGACTTATCAATTGATTTCTCGCGAAAAAAGTGATTCAATGAATATATGACACGAAATAGCATTCAATACTTACTTTTATATGATATATGGTATAGAAATTCACACTTATATAGAGAAATGCATTCAAATATATATGTTGTATAATATATTATATATATTTGAAAATATCATTCAATGAGTAAAATAGTAGTAAAATATGAATCGTGTATAATATTTGCGATAAAATATTTAAAACTTATATCTGTTTTGCTCACAAAATAAATATAAATATATGTTATTATTATTATATATTTGCAAAAATCGTTGACTTGAATATCATATGCGATATCCAATTGAATACAACATTCACTTCAATCGACACACAAATAAAAAGCAAAATATAAAATACAAAATAAATATATATTTTAAAAGTCAATAATATTTTGATTGCATTTGAAATAAAAGCATCAAATATTTACGATATATATAATCATATAGTGTAATATCAAAAACTTTTTGCCACTCAATGCTCCAAGATCATTTTCACCACAATATACTGTATACGCCAAATGGTGTTATAATATAGATATTATTCAATAATAATGATGAGATTCATGTGAAAGTAGCAAGGCGATTTTGCGTTCAAAGTAAAACTAATTTCTAATAAATATATTCATTGAGTGCTTAAAACTCATAATATTTTTCAGTCTTTTATTTTATTTTTACAACACTTTTGAGTCGAGATTTACTGCACATCTCGTAATGGCATATATCACAGACCCGCCACATATCACGTTACCAAATAGGCTAACCATTCGCAACCCTTGAGCGCGAGTGTCATGTGAAATGCATGGCTAACCATAAACAAACCCATTGCTAATTGGATTACGTTATGGTTGTGTGGTTCGCATTGCTATCAATTATCGCAACTTTCAAAGTGACTCTTGAAAAAAGTGACTGCAAAGTATGGGGCTTAACACAAATTACGTAACACTCATCAATTATTTATGCAATCATTTTAATGCTGGCTAATACTATGTTTGAAGTTACATAATAACCCAGAATATTCTGTATATTCCCGCTGTATTGCACCAGAATATGATAATTTTGGAGCATTTTATTCATGGTTTAAAGTGAATCTCATTTGAAATTATAATTTATTAAAAAGTTTTATTATAAATGTCATATAAAACTGAATATTATTTTCAGATACCCTTCAAAATAAAAGTTTCTTGAAAAGTATTTAGAGCTCCGCAATATTTATAACTCATTTCACTGGAAATATGCGCCAAAAATGTATGAATATTCATAAACTTTATTTATTTTGTTTTTAGAAATAAATAGCTCGCGTTTACATAACATAAAAAGGTCTATTCATTAGCGCTTTATTTCTAATAATGTTATACTGTTTTAAAATTGCAAACATTTTTGTTAGACTTGTATATTTTAGGCTAGACTTTAATGTTGTTAAAAGTCTCTTTTATATTTTATTTATTCAGAGATTTTGCATAAATTTAATAATAAATAGTATATTTCAAAATTTAATATATTGTTAAGAGATTTGAGCTGAAAGTGCTCCCAAAACTGATTCCGTATATTCAGCAAATAATTTCTGCATATTTTCATCAAAATACTTTATATTCATATGTTTTAAGCATTGCATAAAATTTTTAACAGTAACACAATTTTCATAAACTCATCGCATAAACTGATATTGATTTTTAAAAATTGAGAAATTTAATTTAATAATAAAAAATAGTTTGAAATCCAAATATTTAAACATTCAAAAATATACAGAATACTTTATAAATATCATTGACAATGTATGACATAATTCGTGAGCATTGTATGGCATAAATACTTAAGTTTTGTCGTATAAAACAAACACCAAAAAAATCATTTTTTATTTCCGTAACATTTTTAAGACATTAAGTCAAGCAAAGGATATTTAGTGTCAAGAATCTGATCCAAAGTGTAATTATTGAGCGCTTGTGTGTCGTTGTCGTCGTACACGAGATCATTAATCAACTTATAGCCCAAATTCTGCATCACATCATAACAGTACTCTTGAACCTCAAGCACATCGTTGACAGTCATCCGCGGTATCCACGAGAGTGGCGCTCTTTGGGAGTCCCTTCTGGTTGAGTGCGGATTCCCCAGAATGTCTTCCTTACGGGTGTGCTCTTTCACCCACATCTGCACCGCCGGTGTGTACTCCAGGTCTAAGTTGTTATACAAGCGTTTGGCCGTTTCGTACGGTTTCAGAGCTATGTCTTCGTAGCGAACAAATGTGATGTTCACTAATTGGTTATTACAAGTGATATATAATTTAATATACAATGAAAATTAATTTAATATATTAATACAATAAGTAAATAAACAACTCATGGCATACCGTTTGACCACTTCTTGATCTGCAAGACTGCGTTAATATCGGTTCTCATGCGTTGGCAGAGGACGTCCACATCCGTACAATTGGGTGAATTGAGACACCACTGCATCCGATATCTTGAGCTCATCACACCTCTGGGGTCTCGCACTAGAAATACTATGAAATAAGCACAGAGATAACTTAATACTCTTTAATTCACGAGCATTTATATAATAATAACATGGACCTATAGTTAATAATTTCCTTAATAAATAAATATAACAGCTGTGTTACCCATATTTAAGACGATAATAAAATTCATAATTGAATTTCTAATATATTATACGAGTAATATAATTTAATAAATAAACTTCTTTCAAGGGTTTAAGTTATGAAGATTTAAGAGCTATTGTTATATCTTGTAATAGATTTTGTAATAATAGAAGCGGTCTATTGTGTAAACATTTCATTAAGCCTTATAAGACTTATATACCTTAATATTACGTTTAAAACATGTTGTCATTTATCTTAATCATTGAAAAACTTATTTAATAAAAATTCAAATTAAGTTCTATTGCTGTTTATATAAAAGTATTGCACATAAAACTACAGTAAACATCAATACTTGACTTTTGCTGCAATAATAGGAAGTCTTCGACACCGAAGCGAATGGTTTTGATGAGCCGATTGTGACATCGATGGCAAACAAATTGATTGGCCGTTGCATTGAATAGCTGGACACTATTTGTTTGCACGGATCGTTTCATGACTAGGTTCCAGTTAAAATAAGGCACTTTCCAGAATACTGGATTCGATTGTGACATCGATGGCAAACAAATTGATTGGCCGTTGCATTGAATAGCTGGACACTATTTGTTTGCACGGATCGTTTCATGACTAGGTTCCAGTTAAAATAAGGCACTTTCCAGAATACTGGATTCAGATATTGTTCACTAAGGTTAGCAAAATTGCATTCAAACAGAGTATGCAATAAATCTATGGCTTCCTCGGCGGTCGACCTATCGGTGCGCGGATTCTTTGCCCGCATATTAATCAATGGCTCAAAGCTGTAAAATGTTGGCCAACTTTGTTGCAGTAAATCACCTAAAAATGTATTGATTTATAGATTATATAATAAATTAATTAGTAAATATCGCTAAAATTCATGCCTAGAAAACTGGATCCACTTCTGGCTTCAGTAATGATTATAACTTTATTGACATTATTTGGCGAAACAATTGGATACTCACTCCAATTAAGCGACATTTGATCCCTAATAGTCATATAATCGCTTTTCAAATAATCTATTTTTACGTTAATTGCCGTGAATTCACTAAAAGACAAATACGAGAAAAGTTTTCTCTTGTTTATAATTAATGTCGGGAATAGAGTCCAAACGACAAACAAAATCAATGAAATGACTAATATTTTGATTATTGAACACAATTTGATTGCTTTCATTCTCATAGGAATAAAGAGAGAAAATTGCAATTTTTGTGATAAAAAGCGCCGAATATTATAAATACATGACAATTTTTGATATAGCCTTTTGATCGGAAAACTTTGTCTAAATATCCCATACATTGGCGTTTCAATGAATGAAAGCTATTGATCTCATTCTCCGTGTATTAAATGAAATAAAAAAATGTCAAAATTGTGTTCAAAAATGAGAGGTTGTGTTCAATGTTTGATTTGTCTGCAGATGTTATGAACCGATCATTAGTTCATTTACCATACATTTCGTGAACATAACTACAATTGTTTGTACATTAAATTGAATTATTATAGGGTTTACCATTGTGGACAATAAAACATAAGTAATTAAAACAACATAAAAGTCATACTAATTTTCAATTAACTGGTATAATAAAAAACAGGAAAATAGTTTTTTGAAATAAGTTGAATAGCAAACAAACCTGTGTTTGACACAATTATTTGCATGTTATGTAAAGTACATGTAAAACAAAACACAAAAATTCTTTTGATTTGAAAACATAACTACTTATGCCATATCTGTACGTTTCGTAATATTTAATTAATTAAAATTATAAACTTTTTTCTATCGTTTTTGTAATAAAAATAATTTTCAAATCTTGTGATAGTCTTAAACACAATTCGACATTTTCTTATTTCTTTTGCATTTTTCCCAATAATCGATTGAATATTCAATGAATCTCTAAATATAAATTATATAAGTACTGTATTATCATTAATTAATATTTTTGACATTAGCTGTGGCCAAGGATGTGAATGCCAAGCCCCTTTCGCAGAGGGAGTACCGTACCCATCAAGAACTGCCCTGTCTTTTAATTAATTATATTATATTTCTCAAAATTTAACAAAAATACATCTAAAATAACAATACAAACTAAGCCCAGGAATTGAACAACTTTTTCGTATGAATACTATTCATGAGTCTAGACTATAGACATAAGACGACAGATTCAATGGGCGAATGAAAGAGAGAATTACAGATCTGTTTACGTTTTCTTATTGATAAACGCAATGAATATATCGCTATCTTTCAGTAAAACTTATTTTCTCATTAAAAAGCTTTTACCGTCTCTCTCTCTCTCTCTCTCTCTCTCTCTCTCTCTCGCTATGTGGTGGTAAATGTTATCTTGAACCAATCGATGGTAAGGTTGGCAACCAATCAAACCTTTAAGACTAATGTCGACTTTCTCTTGAAAAAGAGGGTCACATCTCTTTGCGTATGAAAGTCTTGTGTGAAATATGTAATAACCGTTTCATAGGTATATATACGGCACACACCAGTTGTATACATACAAAGAATTGTGTCACTATTTTTATATACATTCTACTATATACAGTACCTTTTTACGTGTATATGTTTCGCTTTTTAATAAATCTACTTTGCATTTAATAATCAATAAAATATCTTCTTCTCAAGACTTCACTCAGACTATTATTATTACTATTGAGAGAAATTACTTCACCACTACTTCTGCATTTCCTCGTGATTTTTAATCCAATACTTTTCTACTATTAAATAAGAAAAGTTTCTATTTGTACAACAAATCACAAGACTTTCAAACACAGTACAAGAATATTCAAGAATATAAAGAATATTTATTGTGTGTATATATTCATCTGAATGGTAAAAATGACTCAACTCTTGAATGAGGTATTTATTAATTACTAATTCCTTAGAGTTATTTTGTCAGTGAATTATTTATCACTCAATTAAATAACATTAACTTAAGTGCTTTCATTCGTAAATGTGTTTTTAATTGCAATTACAGTATATTTGTTGTTTGATTAAAAAGTTTGATTTGTATAATAAAAGTTTATAATTGTAAAATGCCTAGTTTACATCGTATAAATAGGAAGCTTATGACTTTATTAGTATTAATTATCTTAATATCTTTATAGTTATGTCATAATTATTTTTAATTATTATTACTAATTATAAGTGCATTAAATTAATTGAATAATGTAACTCTATGTTATATTGATTTCTATTCAGAGGTAACCTTCAGATATTTTGAATGATTTTCAAACCCCAGAATATCTGCATTTATTTAATGATAAACAGTAAATATAGTGAAACTAACTAAAAACTAGCAGCGGGTTATGAATTATGCAAACGTTTTTGTGGGCAAAACCTACCGTCTTAGCCGCTTATGTTTATACACTTATAACACCTGTTGATTAACTTTTATAAATAATCATGGTGAATTTGGTGGTAAGTTTTAGTGCATATTATCACAAGTGCTTTATGTTGCTAGTAATTTATCTCTGTATTAATTATTAACTTAATTTAATACATACTTAAATCAAAATTACATTATAATTAGATAAGAATTAATCGAAATTTAACAAATTTGAAGATTTATTTCTCCCTAGTTTAACACATCTCGTGATTTTAACTTTGTTTATATTTTATATGAGATTATAGTTATTTAATTGCATTTACAGTACACATATACTGTAGATGTAATTTAAATTTTACTTGTCATTCACACTAAGAATTTAATCGCAAGTCTTAAGATATACATTATTCTTGATTTGTGAAACTAAGAATCTGCCGCTAGAAATAGCACCTATTAGATTTCACATAATATTCGCAAAAATTTATACAATTAGAAACATATATTATCTAATTATGTGCTTATTTTGTCCTTTTAATGATAATCAAATGTTGAGGTTTTGAACATAAGACTGCTGTACTCATTATCAGTAAGACTTAGATAGGGAATGGGTTGGGGAATGGCATTCTGTGGTGAAATAAAGTACTTCGACTGTATTGACATTCAGTGTTACGTTTGGTGTGATGTTGAGGACACACCACTTCTCACATCCCAATGAATACATGTGTTTCGCAACATTCATACGATTACGCAAAACATTTTTCTTAAAACTTTTTTTTGCTACTCCTGTCGTCAATATTCTGAACGCGTTTTCATTATTTTTGATGAAAATTCTTTCTCCACTTAAAGACAACTTTTTATGAATTTTCTAAAAAAATATGACAAGATTTTGGTAACAAAAAAAGCAACTATCTCTCTCTCTTTCTCTCTCTCTCTCTCTCTCTCTCTCTCTCTTTATTCATACATTAATTTGCGCTGAAATACGATGAAATGAAATTGATTTATTATATATATTTAGAAACACTTATCAATTATTAATAATCAAATATCTGATTACGAGAGGGGACAGGGAGTGGAGACTTATAGTCAACTGCCAATTAATTAGCACTTATTAATGTCTATCTTAGTTCACAATAAACTGTTCGCTTAATTATCTATAATTTGCATTTTATTTATCACTTACTTTTCATTAAAGACTTGATTGTATGCTATTTTCTAACGAAAAAAAATTTTGGGTTAAAATTTTGGCTCAAATTCAAACACATATTTGTTATCTAAATATAAAGGATTTTGTATTTTTACTTAAATAGTTTATACAATTATATACGAATGAGAAACTCTGCATTACAATACGGATATATAAAATTATATAAAAATATATAAATACACTTTAACATGCATATGATCTTGTTTATTTTTGGTTTATTGTACTGTGATTTGCAATTCATATATGACTTTAGATCCTGACTTCATGTATAGCCAATCGATGTAATGAATCAAAATCTTCCTATTTTCTGAT